AACATATGTTGCAATTACAAGGTTTAAAATATCACAGGGAGTTGCTTTAAGTAGGCGTACGAGATATTTCGAAATATTGACAATTAAAATAAGCGAGAGAATAAACTAGACACTTGTACCTCGAATATTTAGAAATATAGAACTGTATTTAGTGGAATCCTCCTCAGTGAGATAAATACACGATTATGAAACAAGATTAGAGACGGTATTTAAAATGTCATGTGAGTACTTTGAGATGTAAACAGCGATCACTCAAGAAGACGGTTAGTGCTCTAAGCAAGTTTATACAAATATACACCTAGTGAGAATAATAGTCCGATGGTATAGAAAGACATATGGGAATGACATACCTTTATAAACAATACTGGAATCACAGCAAACAATACATGAAGGAATTTCATGGTTGAAAATATGTAGAGGTTTACACTGCTATATGTTGTGTAGCACCAGGTGTAGTAGTTATTATATCCGCAATATACAATGGCTCACTGCCAGTGAACATACGAAAGAGTCAAACTGCTCAGAGAGACGAGCGACAGAGCTTTCTACACGCTGAAAGGCGATCAAGGTCGATCCTTAAAGCGCCTGTTTATGAGATTTACGGCGGCAACTGGCGAGTGAGAGGATTTGAAAATGAATTATTGGTTTCATGTTACGACATAAGATCTTGGTCAGACCATGTTTGGAAAGAAATATTTATCTCAGAAATGTCGCAGACAATTGGAATGAAAACAAATTTATGACATAGTCTTAATGTTGTTTTCTTCTGGAAAAATTGTGCGTTAGAAAAATAGGGGGAAATTTAAATGACAAACAGTGCGATGGCAAAATATACTAAGTCTCAACATGTGGCTACAAGTTCAAAGTGCAAATGACCTGTTTTGAAAATCTACCCACAAAACAATGATAGGCTAATATCGACAGGCTGGTTGGCACTATTAAAGTTTCTGTGATCGCGGAGGTTTTCTAAGTTTTGAAGGATTTGTAAGAAAGTTTTGAGGGAACTGACTGATCACTGTTAAACAGTGGCATGGTGGCAGGGGGCACGCTATTGCTTTAATTCTTGGGGGGGGGCGCAACAATGAAAACGGGGCGCCGAATTTTGAAAGTGGGTGTGAAAATTGTAAATGTATTCAGATAACTAGATCAGTAGAGAATAGAATTGGGATTAGATTAATCGCTTGAAGTACTACTACTAAATTCTAACCAAATTTCAAATTTCGACACGTTATAATGCCGTTTCCTGACCATCAGATTTCTGTCAAGTCTTCCCCCAAAGTCAAGGAAATGGGATTTCAGAGACTCTAAATTCAATGGGGGCATGCCCCCGGACCCCCCTAGACAAACCTTGAACCTACGGCGCCCGGCACGTGCCTTCAGCCCTCGTGTATCAAGCGTAACATTATAGGGGCGCATATTGGTTGACAGCCCACTGCCCCCCCAGAAAAATAGTACCCAGCACGCCACTGCTGTTAAATACCAATCAATTCCCTCAAACATTTCTTACAAATCCTTCAAAACTTAGAATTTACCTATGCAAAATTCCTACTGTGATCACGGACTAACTTTGATAGGATAAACCCAGGCTTAAACGAGTTTAAGATAGGCTTGGGCGGTTTTGCTTAAAATCAAAACGGAAAATCCGTCTGATTCTAAACAGGAAAACCGGTTTTTCCCTTTACTTTTGTACTTCAACTGAATGAAGAGAAATTGTGGTATTTTTTAGACATAAGCAAACGAACAGTACATGACAAAACGCAAAATTGTGCAAAGGTAACCTAAAACGACTTCAGTTTTAAACTAAAAGGGTCAAGAACGCATTTGAAAACTTATACCTCTTTAGTTCTTACCGACTTTACGGAAAAGAATAGAATTTGTATCTAGAATTAGTGTCATGTTTTGAGAATAAAGATCGAGTTTCAGGCGATGACAGTAAACAATTACGTAATGACGGTTTTCCGGTTTTTGTAAAAGCTAAACCGAAAAAACCGGTTTGAAAATAAAACCGAAAAAACCCGTAAAACCGGTAAACCGCCCAAACCTACACACGTAAAAATCTCACAACTTGTCAACAAGATGTGTTCGCAACAGGCTTGTAGCAAGCTTGTCAACAAGTTGTAACAATATTGTTGTTTTATCAAGTTGCTACAAGGTTGTCACTCACAACTTGTTGACAAATTGTTGAATTGCAGGACGATAACAAGTTGTTGGAACAACTTGTAACAAGTCTATTGAGCTCAATAACCTTGTAGCAGGTTCTCAACAAACCGTTGACAATTTGTCAACAAGCTGGGAACAAGCGGTGCGAACACATCCTGTTGACAAGTTGTTGGAACAGCATTGCTACAAGTCTGCTGCAGGTTTGTTACAACTTGTGCATTTTTACGTGTGTAGGTTAAGATCAAAACACCTTATCACTTTTCAATACAAGGTTTGTTGTTAAATTTAACTCAAACAATGCAATTATAGACTCTCTGAAAGAAATCGAACCTACGGCCCTGCGATTCCGATGCAGCGCTCTAACCAACTGGACTACAGAGGTCAGTTGTCGAGCTCTAACCACAAGTTCTTGTACTAAGATGATGTCAAGTATAAATAAATCCTGGTAGTAACTACGTTTGCCCAGAGTTTCCATTTGTGGTCGCTATTTCATTGACTGAAGGTGAGACATCATCATTTGTCCTGCCTAGAGGCGCCACTCTACTGTCTGCCCGTCGTGACGACATGAGGGTCTGGGGCGAACATAAGATCTTACGGAATGATTCTCGGAATTGCCTATACCTCAGACTGTACACGACTGGATTACAAAATGAATTACAGAATGCGAGCCACGTGACTGCTGATATGACGTCATGAGGAATCGTTCCAGTCCCTTTGGACGAGGCGTATGTGCCGAGAAGGAAGAATGGGGTGTAGCAAAGAAGAAATGCTCCGATGACGAGAGCGAATGTTTTGATCGATTTCACTTCTTGTTTCAGGACAAATCTTACGCGTTTCGATGTTTGTGGATTATTTCCTTGCATATTGAGTTGTATATCAACAATACGCCTCGCATGCTGACGAACGACTTTGAATAAATATATATAGACATAAAATAACACTGAAAATGGTAGAATGACGAAGATTAAAACCAGCAGAAAACTTGAAGAAGGATTGTGGTGTTGTGAGGAGTTTTTTAAACAACCAAATACTGCAGACCTGAAGTCAAAGTCAGCATATGGTAGATTCACCACTACAGATGGTACCAGCCAGATAAGTACCACCAACACCAACACAGTACGTTTTGACATCAACTCTCGATGTTTGAATGGTTTTTTTATCGACATATATCTATCAACACTTAGTAAACACAGGTGTAGTATTGATATAAAACACAGCGTCAAAGCGAGGCTTGACACAACAGTACACATTGTACCACTGAATTGCCATTCACCATACCACACCATAGTACTATTGAAGGCCATTGAAAGCACCATGAGCAAGTCACTAACGGCCAAACTAAGTAACATCATATTGGTTCGTGTTTGAAGATTTTCATAAATTAGCACGGCAAAACAGACGAGAAGGTTCCCGAGGGTTGTTAAAAACATGATTAATACACATATAGCAAGATGAAGATATACCATGCCCTCTTTTCTGCCTTCCTCGCTTTGTGTCGAGTTACTCCAACTTCTATTGAGAGGAACCATGTCCGTTATTTAATATTGAGATTTCTGCAGCTCGATTTAATATGGAAATTTCTCAGTTAAACTGTTTTCGATTTAAACGCGTGGTCTGCTTTGAAAAAAGAATGTTTATATTCTCAAACACACAAGTGTCTCTGACCTTTCAGAGAATTCAGGCAAATTTCATTCAGTCTCAGCAGGAATAACACAAGATGAATTAAACCCAGTGCAAGAATACGTTTTCTTCTTAATTGACGTTTCAATCTTCACTTCTTCACTTACTGTTTTTGCACCTATACTGTTGTTGTAACGGCAAAAATAATATTTTGAAGCTATAAAGCTGTTAAAGATTGCTTTATTTGTTTTTCACGTAGTTAAGGATGTTTTTGAGATAGACAATTTCCGAGTTTTGATGACGCAGAGCTGTGTAAACCTTCCGTTGACCTGATGACAATCTTCAGATTTGAATGAAACGAAGGATGTTTATGGATCCCCCAGATAACGCTCTTCCAAAAATTCTGATTTTAATCAATACTCTTCGGTTAGAAAAATCCTTGATTGTTTTGTGTAGCTATATCAAAATATTTTTGTCATTTGTCCTAAATATTCTTCGTATTCCTTTGACGTTTCCACTAAGCCCGTCCTTCCGATAAATGGTAAATATACGAAGCGATAATTAAAAGTCCACACAAACTGCAGTTGTTCAACTGTGAGTTTTTTCTCTCTAAAAAATCCTACACCAAAGGCAAGTTAAAACAGTTTTGACTTTACTGAATCCGTCTGAGCATTCAAGCATGGCGTCAAATAAAAAGCATTTCATAGATGAAACAGTATAACTTTCCCCTGCGTCGTCTGTCCGTGTTGTTTTAAACACAAGTAATATTCACATAAGATTCTTCAAAAGGAATTGCAGATGTATTTTAATAGTCCAGACACACTTCAGTCGAGTGTGGCACAAAGGTTCCAAACGGCTCTGTTCGTCTTCTTTCAACAAGTATTTCTATAGCAGAAACACTTCAGGCGACACTGATATAAACACAGGATGAACCTTCCAAGAAACACTTTGAAAGAATTTCGCTCTTGACACACAAGCAAAGTTTAACACATCATATTTTATATCAAGTGATGAGAATCAAGAAGACACGAAAAAAAAGTTTACTTGTAATTGTAACAAACAAGGTATACAAACAAGCTTGAGTTGAAAGAAGCTTCTAGCAAAATCCCGCACGCACCTGGGTAGCTTTGTAAACCACAATTTTTGTTTGATTTATATTTCATACACTTAACTCTTGAGACAACATCGCAAAAAACACTTCAGGCAATCTAGAATTCCTGATTTTGCAGCCTTATATATCAATTTATACAATTATGAGCATAATTCCCAATACCTGCTCACGTTTTTTAAGTTATATTTGATATATATGAACATGAAGTTAATTTCCTACCGCAGTTGGTGGTAGAGCAGGTGCTTCTCATTTAATTTGGAGTTGTCTTCAACGACTGCTTGACAACATAGCTTGCTTTTTATCGTACGTGCGTGCACACATGGAAGTTTCTTATCAAATACTGAAATGAACAAAAGGATAGCATTTAGTTTTGTGTAGGATTTACAGTGTTGAGGTATAATAGTAATTAATTATATTAAACTTAGAAAAACGTGGAAAGCAGCCTTCAGGAAGACTTTATAATCGTGTGTGTTTTAAAAACATGATGATTAGTAATTCATTCTATCTTGTAGGACCTCACATGCAGAACACGTTTGCTACAAAGTAATCTTATATTGAAAACATAGGGACAAAGCACAGAAATTTAAATAAGCAAATATAATAAAAAGATACAATCTATATGTATTGACTATTATATCTTGACGGAACGTATGAATATTAACACGGCGTATTAGTGTTTTGAGAACAGCTGCGCACAAAGCAGAAGCAGCTATCTTGATAACAATCAGTGTACTATAGCTTCAATAGACCCCCAGATCGTAAATAAAGAAATTTCATCGTCTCCTCCGCAATGCGGGCAAACAATCCAAGCAACCCAGGTGACCTACAAGATCTCAGTAGTTATTCGAAAATACTACAAAGCACACAAACAAATTGTTTTACTTTCATGTGGATTTGGTATACGCAGAATGCAGATTATTAACGTGTGTAGCTTAAATCATTTGACAAGAAGCCTTAAATCATGTGACAAGAAGCCTCAAATCATGTGACAAGAAGCCTCAAATCATGTGACAAGAAGCCTCAAATCATGTGACAAGAAACCTCAAATCATGTGACAAGAAGCCTCAAATCATGTGACAAGAAACCTCAAATCATGTGACAAGAAGCCTTAGATCATGTGACAAGAAGCCTCAAATCATGTGATAAGAAGCCTCAAATCATGTGACAAGAAACCTCAAATCACGTGGCAAGAGTCTTAAATCATGTGACAAGTAGGTTCAAATCACGTGACAAGTAAGTTCAAATAATTTGCAGCGACATGTGTTCACATACAGATAATCACAGCAAAGACGCCGAAGTTTTCTTTGAACAGTGGCGAGCTAAGCAAGCGACGTCAATACGGACGTCACCCGAAAATTGCTCTAATTAATTTTGGCGGCATTTTCATCATAGCGCGCTCGTGTAAGGAAGTTTATAAAAAACTTTAAAAATCTTATGTTTTGTCATGTGTTGAAGATTACCATAAACACAGTTTTTAATCCAGTCCCACTCGGCAATCTGACATCCCTGTTGACAAAAACATCGCTTTCTTAATAGGATGCCGGCGTTTCACGGAATATTTTAATTAAAGAGAATGATGCTGAGCCGGGATAATATAAGTAATCAATATTGATTAGCCTTATGTACATTTAATAACATTACCAGATTAACAATGATTGATACAATATAATGCGACTGGTAATAACAGCAGCTAAATTATGAATACAAAGTGAAACGGCGACCATTCTGTGTAATACGAAGATTGTGTCGTATCTTAATTATCGTGAGACGCCATACTGGCGACAATTAGACTATGTTGACTTTAAATGTTTTCAATGAAACAATATACTACCTAACATCCTCCTTTATTATGGGTGAATATCAGAATTTGAGGCACCTCACTTGATAGAACTAATTGTTGAAGGATTTCGTAGATGAAAATTTTTAGTGGAACTTTTATAAAACCATGAATAATTCACGAGGAAAAAACGAAGAAAATGACACGGTGGTTTTATATGTGATAAAAAATCATGTTCATTTACATAAACATTTAAGGTGACAGAACACCTTTGAGTGTTAATTTTGCCTAAAATTTTTTTATTGGTTTCCATGAAAGCATTAGACTAGTTCTACTACCTGACCAAGTTTGAACGAAAAATGTTGAAAACTCGCAGATTTATTTAATAAAATACATTTCGCTGCAATAAGAAAAACATTGAAAATGTAATATTCAAATTCAATTTTCTCACGAAGAATTTTACGGTAATTACTGATTTTCAAACGAGTTGTGCTCCTGCGGGTTTTAACCAATTTTTCTCAAATGTTCACAGGACATAGCTAAAGACGTCAGTTTCAAAATTGTGTTCGGCTTTTTTTTAATTTTGGATATTTTAATAATAAAGAGCAATTCACTCAAACAATTCAGAAATATATTGCAGTCGTCAAAGAAATCGCCATATCAGCGGAATGACGAAATAAACAAAAATTTCCGAACACAATTTTTTAGAACAACTATTTTACTGTATAAAAATGATATTTTCATAAATATATCTTAAAACCAGCAGGAACATAACTCAAAAGCGTAAAGGTACCGCGACTTAAGATTTTCCTGAATAATTCTTACATTATTTTATTGTTTGTCAATTTTACAACTTTATCATATTTTGCATGCACTGGCTAACATTTGGTGAAAATTTGATGAAAATTGGACTGATTTTGAGCGCGCAGTAGCGATTTTCCGCAAAACGCCAAAAAGGGTGTCCTGTAACCTTAACATGGTATGTTACTACCATTCTTTACTGTTTACGACCTTCGTAGATTTTGGATGACAATGGCCGCCATCTTGACTTGATTTTTCTCATATAATAACTGAAGTTCCTAGTCCAGATTTCTATATAGCTCTCCGTCTCTCCATGTTAATTCAGCTGTTATATTCAAGGCTGAATTGCAAGAAATTTGTTTGAATAGGAAATGAGATGAATATTGAAAACATGAAATTTATGTTTCGCTTAATGTTCATGGACAGTTAGAGACGATTAATTACAAGATGGCACCAAATATCTTAATTATTACTTATGAAATCCTCGTTTTAATTATATGGTCTTCACTGTATGTCAAATACATGTGATATTAATGATTCCTCGTATTACTTATATGGGCAGTAAAACTTGCAAAGACAATATGAACAAGCTTTCGTTGGTAGAGATGCAACTATAACTGAAAAATATAAGGAGAAATTTGAAATTCTTCTTAGATTTTCAGGTAATTGCATTCCTACCATTGAACTATAAATAAACTGGAAGGCTAACTGCTATGATGAAGGCCTATGATTTGATGAAGCCAAAATAGTTTTTCTGAGTTATGAGCAGAAATACTTGACCCCAAACGTCGGGCAATATATCAAATTGAAGCTATTGAAAATTGCTATTCGGTGTGGAAATTTCAAGACTTCAGCGAAAAGAAAAATATTTAAAAAATACAAAAACAACTGCAAAACGGCAAATTATCGGTAATTATGTTTGTAGTTTTTCAATATTTCCCTTTTAGCTAAAGTCTTGAAATTTCTACACCAAATAGCGTTTTTCAATAGCTTCAATTTGATATATAGCCCAACGTTCAGTGTTGAGTATTTCTGCTCATAACTCAGAAAAACTAAAATGCACTGGCTTCAATTCCCCCCCCCCCCTGAGTTAGCCTTCCAGTTTATTTATAGTTCAATGATTCCTACCAACGAAAGCTTGTTCATATCAATGGCACTACCATAGATATCTTATATACACTAGGTAGTGCATCTAATTATTCTGCAATACAAAAATTGAAGCCGTGATTGCAGACTCAGGATATTCCCATGAAATGAGAAGACTCGTATGTTTTCTATTTCTTAAACAGGGAACGTAAACATTAAGGTCAATCTATTCCAAATACATTTTCAAACTATTCAAATGATGAAAGTTATTGTTGTTTTTCAAGCGTTTATTAGCGAATGGGAAACTTCAACATGGCCGCCATCTATTCAAATGGGGGTAACCGCTGGAATATTCTTGGCTTCAATTTTACTAAGAGATGCGCTATCTAATGTATATAAGATATCTATGGGCACTATACCTAGACCATTGAACTATAAATAAACTGGAAGGCTAACTGCTATGAAGAAGGCCTATGATTTGATGAAGCCAAAATATTTTTTCTGAGTTATGAGCAGAAATACTTGAGCCCAAACGTTGGGCTATATATCAAATTGAAGCTATTGAAAATTGCTTTTCGGTGTGGAAATTTCAAGACTTCAGCGAAAAGAAAAATATTTAAAAAATACAAAAACAACTGCAAAACGGCAAATTTTCGGTAATTATGTTTGTAATTTTTCAATATTTCCCTTTTAGCTAAAGTCTTGAAATTTCTACACCAAATAGCGTTTTTCAATAGCTTCAATTTGATATATAGCCGAACGTTCAGTGTTGAGTATTTCCGCTCATAACTCAGAAAAACTAAAATACACTGGCTTCAATTTCCCCCCCTGAGTTAGCCTTCCAGTTTATTTATAGTTCAATGACCTAGACTGACACAGACAATTCAAGGGATAACATGCAAATCTTTCAACTAAACAGATATTTCAATATTTCATCAATTCTATATTGCCATTTAATAAATAAATGAAAGAAAATTACTTCCACTATGAATAAACTCAATAATCCATTGTAATTCCTGACACATATATATTATACTCCTTAATATATAATATTCTTGTAGACTAAATTATGCATGATTTCTTTCAATTATTACGTAATCACACATAGCTTTTAATTAACATTTATTACAACGGCACTTTTTATTAAACCTGAAACATTAATTGCTGTACACAACAGTCTATCTTCTATTTCGAAAATATTTTCAAATTTTCAAGTTAGTGTAAAAAATTTCGAAATGTGTGTTTTTCATTTAAGAAATGTTGCAAGCCATGACACAATACTTTGCAGACGGTATTGAGCACACAATATATTTATGTTTGCTTCATTTGTAAACTCACATCTGTCCAAGTGTGTGCAACAACCTGCAAAGTCATTCAATCTCATAAAATAAATGTGAAAGAACAACGTAGCAACGTTGTATGCCATTGTCCTACTGGAACTTTCTTTCCATAAAAATCTAATCTCGTATATTGCTTCCACACTTTATACTGCAAAGCTAAGAAAAGTCAATAAAGCAAGGGCTAATGCCATTTAAGATAGCGTCGGTGTAAAATAAACAACAGATAAAAATAATTAATTTCTGCGCTTGGCCCGACCGATATTTATAAAGTTAAGAATATCCATACCTATATATCAATTTCTGTGTGAAGGTTCTTCAATATTCTCAACTTAAAGAAAATGAGAACAGAATTTAAACGCTGTAATGGTCGCTCAATATAAATTTTAGTAAACTTGCTATCATACTAGTGGTAATGCGCCCTAATGCGCGCTACTTTGTCACTTCTGGTTTTACTCGTCATGCGCTAATAAGACTATCTAGCTATATATATGTTGTAAAAGGTAGTTGCATCAGAGATAGTTTTGGAGGCAGTCACATCCCTATAAATTCGAAGCTTTCATACATGTTTCTTAACCATTAAACTTGAATAAGCCCTATTTAGTTATTCAACTCGGTCGGGATTTATCATAAAAACCCATCAGATAAAAGACAAAAACAAAATTGAACTATCTTGCAAAGTAATTGCAACTCATTACGTTAAGCCACACTTTAAAGAAATAATAAATGTTAACTAAAATTAACCGAAAAATTATGAAAATATACAATCAGTTTGCAGTTGCGTTCTCTAAATTAAAAAACCCCCAGCAAGAACATTAAAAAAGGTGAATCAGTTGATAGTAATTCATTAGATATAAGCAAAACTACAGGGGATTAGGAAACATGGTTTAAGCAATGACTTAAAATACACTTTGAGACAACTCGAGGCAATCAACGTCAGAACGCGGAATAATTAGAAGGAACGTTAAGAGGAATTAGAACGTTCAATCGATCCTAACCACACAATATTGTTATATGGTTGAAGTATTTACATTGCATAAATCATTTGAGTTAATTATTCATATTTTGAAACAAAGTCAACGCGTTTCATAAAAAACCTGATTGGACAGTGGAACAGGTGAAAAAATAAAGTAAGTTTTCATCTGAAGATAACCAACTTTCATATCGCGCTATTTGTAAAAACACGATAACGAGAGCAAGAGATCTCGCAGTCAACATAGAAAGGAATTAGATTGCGAAGTAATTACTTCCTTGCAAATGAGGTTAGAGATATATATACATTCCCAAGTTGGACAGCAAATGTCAAACAACTGGATTAAAGAAAATCTATCAAACATGAATATAAATTTCATATCAGGATTTGGAGAGATCGAAGAATAAATATACTAGGAGGTGATTTCGTATTGTAGAACGATATTCCTTCTTCGGGCTGATGACGGACACTGCATAAGAAGAGCATCAAACAAGCGAATTTATGGAAATTGGTCAAACCTTACCAAAGTGGATCAGAGGATAGTGTAATTCACGTAGAAACTAAATATTTCACTGGCCGTTAGCATTACAGAACACAAAACTATCGAGAGGTCTTAGCAAACTTTTAGCTGAAACACCTCGCGAGCAAGGATCGGAGGAAGGAGAACGCATTTCATCAAAGAAGAAATCGTCTTGCAGTGTTGCAGTTTTTGGAGCAGGTCTTGGAGAAACGCAAGGACAAGAGAACAACATATTTTAATTCGTCCAGAGAGAAATTGTCTTACTAATACAGTCAGTGTTATCAAAACTGCGAGGTCCACACCGCACCATTAAATTGGACAGGAAAATGTCACACAAGAGGGTTTAGAAATCAAACTTTCAGATCAAACGATAACATTGGAAGAGAAAAGTTAGAAAGGAATTGTTTTCCTATAGTTGGAACAAATACATTTCCAAGTTGGTAGCGAAGGTTATCAAAGAAGCGAATGTGATAAAAGTTATCAAACGAAGACAAGAGATCAATTGACAATTGTGCAGCTGTGATCAAAATGTTTAATGCTGTAAACCAAAGTAATTCTAGTGATACTACACCAAGTCATGATTCCCAACCCGTGGTAGTCATCATTATAGAACTCATAGCATTCACTACTGTGATATTAACCGCTTTCACGGGCAATATTTTAGTATGCATAGCAGTGTACAAATTTCGTCAGTTACAAACCACAACCAATGTTGCGTTGGTGAGTTTAGCCGTGACAGATATTTTAATGGTGTATGTTATAATACTGCACGCTGTGATGGTCATTGAAGGAAAATGGACATTTGGAGACACTTTATGTGAAGTCTCGTCAAGTATTGGACTAACCCTGAATCTCATGTCCTTGTTACACCTCGCCTACATAAGCTTGGATAGATTTATAGCCATTATTAAACCATTCCGGTATCAGGTTTGGATAACCAAACAACGTGTTATTATAACAATGCTTTGTCTATGGTCTCTGGTCGTATTACTCCTGAATGGCCCGTGGGGAGACTTTGAATATCGTGCGAACGTGTTCGGTTGTCTCAATGGAGTAGAAAGAGGAGAATTTAAGCTTTCCACCTTCATCTTGCTCGTACTTTTTGTGAGTTTTCCCTCGGGGTTCATACTCTTCACTCAGGTGTGGGTGTGCAATGTAGCGCGTGGTCACGCCAAGAAGATGAACAGACAACAGACGAACCTGAGGATATCGTACAGCGAGCCCACCCCCTCCGTGATCAGATGTGACGCAGACACCAAAGCCAGTAGGAGAACAAGTATTGAGACAACTTTCAGGAGGGAGATGAAATCTGTGAAAACATTTGGTATATTAGTCGGGTGTTTCTTGGTTTGTTATATGCCGTTCTATACTGTCGCTACACTCCGATCATTCAATGGTCTTGATAGCGTGCCTTCGACTGTCCTAACTACAGTCACATGGATTGCTTTTGTTAATAGGTAAGATAACTATTCCTCAGTGTTGGTTTTCACTTTCAAAGTTTCTGTGATCACAGTACGAATTTTGCAGAGGTAAATTCTTTGAAGATTTGTAAGAAATGTTTGTAGGAACTGACTTATTGTTTTTAACAGCGTGTCAGTTTCCAAACTTAGAATTTACCATCGCCAAATTCCCACCGCTGTGATTACAGAACCTTTGACTGTAAACCGGGCTTTAAATAAGCACAACAAATATCGCAGTGTATCAAATAACGGACTATGAAGTTTGCCACACATCAACTGCTGTCTGTTTACTACCCCGTACAAATAACATCAAAGTTTCATGTATGACGGGGCATCATAATTTTATTGGACCATTTGCATTATAGACTAAATTTTGATCTAGACAAAAATTTTATCACAGCTTCAAAGAGCATCACAAAATTAGTAATATTCCAAAGTTTCGTTGCGAAATGTTGTAAAATGCGGATAATATAGCCATGCGAATTTTGCCGTTTTTCATTTGTATTACGCACGGGAAATTGACAGCCCAATCGGGTGTTGGGGCATCAATTTCCCGTTTGTAATACAAAATGACTGAAAATTGCAAATTTTGAAAGCTATATTATCCGCATTTTACAACATTTCGCAACGAAACTTTGGAATACTACTAATTTTGCGATGCTCTTTCAAGCTGTGATGAAATTTTTGGCTATATCAAAATTTAGTCTATAATGCAAATGGTCCATTGCTGTTCGCTATCTAGCATGACAAATAGATCGTATGGATGTACGAAGCAAGAAAACGTTCACAACGACGTATCCACTGGCTAAGCTCAAACTAAACAACACTCCCACACATGTTAAGACAACTTAAATGCCAGACTGTAAATACGTAATTTCAGAGATTGATATTGTGTAACATTATATTTCAGTGCAGTCAACCCAATCCTCTACTCGCTACGTCATCGACAGTTCAAGACCGCCTTTGAGAAGATTTTTAAGAAAGGACTGGCACGAATTGCTCCTATGCAAATACCAGACACCACAAGTCGAAGAAATTCTGTCCTTGGACACAGTTCAAGTGTTCAAGAAGGAACAGTCAGAGGAGAGAATTCACTTGTAACCGTTAATTGAGATGACTTGTCATGCTTGAAAAGAGAACCATGGTTACAAAATAGAGAATAATGGACCATTTGCATAAAAGACCAAATTTTGATCTAAACAAGTGTAGACAAAAATTTCATCACAGCTTGAAAGAGCATCACAAAATTAGTAATATTCCAAAGTTTCGTTGCGAAATGTTGTAAAATGCGGATAATATAGCCTTGCGAAGTTTGCAATTTTCAGTCATTTTGCATTACGCGGGGGAAATTGACAGCCCAATACCCTTGGAGGCTGTCAATTTCCCGTTTGTAATAGAAAATGACTGAAAAACGGCAAATTTTTCAAGGCTATATTATCCGTATTTTACAACATTTCGCAACAAAACTTTGGAATATTACTAATTTTGTGACGCTCTTTCAAGCTGTGATGAAATTTTTGTCTAGACTTGTTTAGATCAAAATTTAGTCTTTTATGCAAATGGTCCATTGCAAATACCCGTGATACTACAAGGCGAGGAAAGGCTGTCTGTTGACACAGTTTTGAAGAAGGAACAGTGAAGAGAGAGAACTCGTTTAAGGCTGGTTCACAGACACAGTAGAATTCTGCAAAGGTAAATTCTAAGTTTTGAAAGATTTGTAAGAAATGTTTGAGGAAACCAACTCTGTGTTTAATACTAAGACTCAGGGCCGGATTAACGTCGCGCGAGGCCCGTGGCAGATTTTAGCGCGACCACCCCGTTATGAATTCCCTTGAATTCAAAGACACACAAAATTGTTAAATAATTGCTTTCAATATTTCAATTGATTGGCATCAATTATAAACAATTGCCTGCCTGGCCCAGTTGTTGGGTCAACAAGTAAACAGGATCATATATAACAGATCAGCGCAACTGGAGATTACATGCATACGAGTATTGTATATTTTCCTGAGGGTAAACTGCCAATCCTAGGGGCCCCAAATGCGCGAGGTCCCTAATTCGCGAGGCACCTAAAATGGGCGTGTCCCAATAGAAAATAGGCGTGTTCTCGTAAAATTGGGCGTGGCACAGTAAAGCGCGAGGCCCCAATAAGCGCGAGGCCCCAATAAGCGCGAGGCCCCAATAAGCGCGAGGCCCCAATAAGCGCGAGGCCCCAATAAGCGCGAGGCCCCAATAAGCGCGAGGCCCGTGGCATTTGCCGCATCTGTCACGTGGTTAATCCGGCCCTGCTAAGACTAAGTCAGTTTCCTCAAACATTTCATACACGTCCTTCAAAACTTAGTCTTAGAATTAACCTCCGCAAAATTCCTGTGATCACAAACTTTGACAGTGTAAAGCAGGCTTATCTCAGAGTAAACAATGTTTCAAAGCGTTCTTGCAAGTACCAGATGTAGGAATAGAAGAATGTCTGTTCGTTGACACAGTTAACAGACTGAGACAACTCGCTTGTGACGGTTTTTAATTCAATTGACTAGTCATTCTGTACGTGACTTATTTGGAATCCAGTGTAGTCACTGAAATATTCCTGTGTAAATATTTTGTAAATAAATAAATAAGGAAAGATGGAAAAAGACACTCAATGGTGACAATTATTTAAGTTGATACAACTATCTTGTTAATACCAGGATTAATGCACGTAAAATATCTTAGATTGCTGACATCGGATCCAGGGACGCCGGAACGATGTGAAGGCAAGGGCGGCAGATTTTCGTGAAAGGGCACTTCTGAATTGATATATACTAATAGATGTTTGCAAAACATCGGGAGTTGAACTTCGCCTAATCATGTTTTCTATTTATTGGATGATAGGCGTGTCCTCGGGTTCTCCGCCAGGTGATTGTGCTATTCTTGAAGCTCGATGATGGCATTTCTTGCGTTTTCTGAAGCAAATTCGTAAAAGAATTGCACTAACATTTCTGACAATTCTCTATTTCGCCAAGGCAATCCTTTAAATTGAAAGGGCACCTTTGCCCCCCTTGCCCCTCCTGGTAAAGGGCAACGGGGGCGGCTGCCCCTCTAGCCTCCAGTTCCGGTGTCCCTGATTGGATCTAACACAAAATAGTACCTCATTGCCCACAGATTACCTGTGGTGAACAAAAAGTCCATATAGTACCTTTTAAACATCACCTTTGGATCAGAAGACATTACTTTCAACGTATCTCTGTTATAGTAATAAGCTTCGAGTCTTGAGTTGAAGGCATCATCTTTTCATAGCTAAACAATTTCAGAAATACATATGTCTATATACTCGAACAGTCTGTGCCAATGTTGATAGTGACAATAGCAGCAGAAAGCTGGGGAATGAGACTAGATTCAATAGACCTTTCCCCTTATGAGTGAAATTTTGATCTAGACAAGTCTGGACAAAAATTTCATCACAGCTTGAAAGAGCATCACAAAATTAGTAATATTCCAAAGTTTCGTTGCGAAATGTTGTAAAATGCGGATAATATAGCCTGCGAAATTTGCCGTTTTTCAGTCATTTTGCATTACAAACGGGAAATTGGTAATCAGTTTGATCATCTGATTATAAATTTCCCATTTGTAATACAAAATGACTGAAAAACGGCAAACTTCGCAAGGCTATATTATCCGCATTTTATTTTACAACATTTCGCAACGAAACTTCGGAATATTACTAATTTTGTGATGCTCTTTCAAGCTGTGATGAAATTTTTGTCCAGACTTGTCTAGATCAAAATTTCACTCAAAAGGGGAAAGGTCTATTACCTGCATGACAAATACAAGGAAAACTTCAATGTTTTGAGTGAAGACCCTTCATCAGGAACTTCCCAATGAATGATCTTCAGGTGAAATGTTGAAGTTTCACTTGTATTTTCCAGGAAGTTGAAACCTCTCAACTCACAGTTTTGATATGTTTGTATCACATGCTGGTGCCAAATTATGAGGAAATCATGTGACCATCACACACCAATGACAAACAAGACACATTTAGTAAATCTTTAGTTATATTTCAAAATCTTGTACAATACATTAGAGAGATTTTCTGCTGATAATAAAATTAGAAGTATGAATATCTTCCTTCTAATTACTAATTATTAATCTTCCAACAAATGTCATCATTCTAATTACTAATTATTATGATCTTCAAAGGTTCCAGCTCGTCCAGCTCCAGCAGCAAACTTTCCAGCGCCTTTGATTGCCTCCATTAAACAATCCTCAGAGTTCTCTTTCTCAAACCTCAAAGCATCATCCAACGAGCATGCGTTAAACATGGCATAATACGCTGACTCACGCTCCTCAGTTAAACACAGTTGTGGGAAAGATGCAATCTGATTGGCTAATGCAAACGCCTCCTTATAAGCAGTCCCTTTAGAAACAACACGATTGGCTAAACCAAAATTTAAAGCTTCGGTTGCATCTACTGACCTCCCTGTGAGAATTAGATCCAGTGCGCGGGAGAGGCCAATTAGCTTACCTAAACGCACTGTACCTCCATCAACCAGTGGAACTCCTAGAAACAAAACAGGAATCAGCACTTGCCTGGGGCAAGTAAAAAAATCATCAAGAAGTTGCTTCTTGGTTGCATGATCAGACAAGTTGTTTTGTCAGAAACTTAGTGCTAAACATTGTTTGCTTGTCTGGCTTTTTTATTCCTTATTAATAAAGCAGCTGAAATCAGCACTATGTTTTCATTTCATTTAATCATTGCATGTGTAACATCACGATTGGTAATAAACAATACACACATGATGATGAACCAACCATTCCTAGCATAAACCAAGACAAAACCATAGATAGCAAGGTCTATTATGTCTGCATCAAGTTCCCTTCTTATTCTTAATCAAAATATTTGTGGCAATCAATGATATTTACCCCATCTTCTGTTGAAGAAACCCATTATTGCATCTTCCTCAACAACTCTCATGTCACACAACAGAGCTAGTTCCAAACCCCCACCAACAGCGTATCCAGATATCGCTGCAATCACTGGCTTACTAAACTGTTCACGGGTTGGACCCTAAAAAACCCCAGAACATTATTGGGTCGTTTCAGAAAAGATCCATGCATACACCCACCACAGAGGAAATTTCTGTTGTCTTGAAGGGCAGAAAAATTTGATTTCAGGGCCATAGCAACCGGGGGGGCTGGGGGGGCTGCAGCCCCCCCAATAATTTGCTAATAATCATTCTTTTTTCAAAATCATGCAAACTTTATCATTTAATCTGTGACAAACTGCAAAGAATGAAGATATTACTCATACTCCAGATCGTTCCTCGCGTAGAAATTTTAGCTGAATTTCTGTCGCGCATTTTCAAGAAAATCCCACAAAATCTGCACATTTTTGATGAACTAATGATTTATTTTGTCTTTTGCGTGTTGGGTCTTGCGAAAGAAAACTCTGAAAATGCCATTTCAGACCATCTAGAGACTCCAGGTTCTCGAAATTTTCTCAAATGTTCTGCCTTCATTTCCGCGCAACTGCCATTTACGACGAAAATTCCCGCTGCGCATTTATAATACTACAGTCTGGCCCATACTTTCCTGTAAATTTCGACATACTAAAACGCAGTTTTCTGACTATCAGAATTCTGTTAAATCTTCCCCCAAAGTCCAGGAAATGGCATTTTAGAGACTCTAAATTTAAAAATTTCCACGGGCCTTCGGCCCTCGCTTTCAGCCCCCCCAATCGAAAAGAGCTTCCTACGGCCCTGGATTTCAATAGTAGTATACTAGGTAGGGGAGTTAACTTCCAATTTCCTCCATGGGGGGAGTAAACTTGTAACGCTCTTGAAAAATATTCAAGTGTCACGTGAGACAATATTGCTACCTGGAAGTGTTCACGGGCACAAGCAAACGACGGTACCATTTAAACCCACGTGGGTTCAGTGAACAATACAAGATAGAACACTCACCATTGGACCGTCTTCGGCCTTAAAAATTTCCATAACGTCCTTCACATCCCACTTGGAGACTTCCTTGAGATCGTATCCACCAGAAAATGTGCCTGAACTGCCGGACAGCACTGCAATCCGGCTGTCAACATCATCTTCAAATTGTCGAAACGCTTGCCTAAGTTGTATCGCTGTTTCGTTATTTATTGCATTTCTCACTTCTGGGCGGTTCAGTTGGATAGAAAATACTGCTCCCTGTTGTTCCGTTAACACAAAAGACGATGCAAGTCTCTTAAAACCTTTAAAAAAACCCTGTTTTCCAAGAAACATTTTTGAAGAAAATTGGGTTGAGATTCCCGCCACAATAAACGTAAATTCCCATCCTTCAAAAGTTGCTGACGCTAACTGGTGAATTATCTAATAAACACCACGGCGCTTATCAAGTTTTCGCAGAGATGGGGGCTTGGTGAATTTCTTCCAAATGAGGAGAGGGGTATTAGAGGTAGGGGGGGGGGGGTCCAACTTAAAATGACTGAATTAAGCAACGCCCCGATCTGGTGCCCAGAGTATGCCCATTTGCAGGTTGGGTGCTATTGGCAATGCCTACAAAACAACTTTCCAATTTCCGACAGAACATGAAATAACATCATAATTATATGTAATAAAAATAGTACATTTTAATACCGTTGTGTTCTTCTGAACTCTAATAAAACAGCAGGCTGCTCCATTTACTGTTTGGAGTACTCTGGATTTTCGGAGCACTAATAGAATCGAAGCGAACACGGTCACATGACTGTTCGATTCCACTAGCGTTCGGAGTGCGCGAAACAGTAAATGGAGCAGCCTAGTATACCGTAAACCTCCGACTATAAGCCCCGTGTATTAAGCCCACCACATGTACTAACGCTCACCTCATTCCAAATATAAGCCCCCATATAAGCCCGCCCGAATATAAGGCCACTTGTTTATCACTATTGTCTATCACTATTACTATTAATTAAAATTAATCACTATTATTACTATGCTTAACACTTGTTTATCACGATTACACTAACACAAAAGATCGTCCATATATAAGCCGCCGCCCCCAATACATAAGCCCCCCCCTGTATAAGCCCATTATATAAGTCCAGGGCTTATAGTCGGAGGTTAACGGTAAGCTGTCACATGACCACCATGTTATTTAGTAAGCTGTCACGTGACCACCATGTTACTTAGTAAGCTGTCACGTGACCACCATGTTACTTAGTAAGCTGTCACGTGACAGCCACATGCAATATGTTCCATGACATGTTGTTTCAAGTCACTCAACTGACTTTTCAACGCACTAGCTATGGTTGTCAGCTCAATATTCCTCTCTCTCAATTCTTGAACTTTCACTTCGAGCTGAGCTTCTCGTTCCAACTTCTTTTTCCGACATTTTGAAGCAGCCACTCTGTTCTTTTGCTTCTTCCGTTCACGTTTCACAACTTCCTGGACTTGCAGGTCAATTGGGGGCAAAGGGAACATTTGAGTTGTGTGTACATCTTGATGTCCTGAAGGTACTTGTTCCATGTGATCCCTCATGTTCTCAGAAAGTTTGACATGAGCATGAAGTTTGAATAATTCAGGATGGCTTTCGAGATTTATCTCTGAAGGATTAGTTCGATTCCCAGGATTAATATTAAGATTAGATTGATTAGGATTGCTTGAACCAGAGTTAGTGTAGTTTGCTTGGATTCTGCTGCCGTCCCCCATAGTTAATGCTGATGGATGAGAATTAGATTGATTTCCAGGCATAGTTCCATTATTTTGGTTCCCAAATCCTGTGTTTCTATTACCCACTTCCATCTGAGTATTAATCCCAGCGTTGTAAGCATCTAATATTGCTGGATGATTGGCATAGTGTGTTCTGATTGTGTTTCTGTTTCCATCTTCTCGTCCAATAGTCCCAGCTTTACTTCCAAAACTGTGCTGTTCAAATGTTCCAATCTTATTCTTATTTTTGTCCTCCATCGTCGCAAGTCCAAAATTGCCGTAGTTTGATAGATTCATGTCTTCGATTCCGCGATCTTGTCCTGGCATGAATTGTTGTTCATTTCTAACTTTTCTTCTAACAAATTGATGTTTTTGACTGTCAAAGTTGTAACTTTTGTTCTCGTGTAGTCTCGTGCCACTTGTTTCAATATTATGCGTCCCTTCCTTGTGTCCCAACTGTTGTTCACATTGAATCTTGTGCAGAGCATCAACGAATGTCTTCGTATAAACTTCATGTTGTTTTTGAACGCTTCTTCCTTTGTCCTGACCAGATTCTTTATCGTTAAAATTTGAAAAGATTTTCTCAAAATCAGGGGACACTAAGTTTAAAACATTTAAATCAGAAGTGTTGATTGTGGTTGTTTCTCGGCTGTTGGTTACTGGAGTTTCCGAGGTTGACGTTTGTCCTACAATCAATCTTTCCAGATCAGGTGAAGCCATATGAAACAGACTAAACTCGGGAGAACTCATGTTTTCCTTTTGTATTTCTTGAGTTTTCATCATCAATGGGCTCTTAGAGGCTTTCCCATTCTTGCTTTGATAATTTTGGTTTGAAATTCCTTCGTAAAATAGGATTTCATGTTCGTTTGTAAAATGACTTGGAAATGAATCTGCCATATTAGGTGGAACAAAGATACAGAAAGGTTCTTCCTACAGCGTCTGCCAAGATGTTTTATAGCGAACTGAATACTTTCTTGGTAAAAAAGATGAATCGTTGTATCATTAGATCATCGCAATGTGTACAATGCATGCATGAGAGAATGTTACGCTATTTCCTCCACTTAATCGCCCGTTCAAATCTTTGAAAACAAATCTAACATCCTCCCACGATACCCAAGACTAACACAATCGCCATGTCTTTAAACTCGTATATTTCCAAGTATCCCAATGGATAAATTTCCATGGATATTCACTTGAATACATTTCAAAAATTTTCCTTTTGCTTCATCGAGGCATTGAAAATCACGTTTGCGTATAGCAAGCGTAAAGACTTGACCTGCTACCACCTGTTCATCTCGTTCAAATTGTTCACTCAGGATTTGAACATATGACAGGTACTTTGACAATATTTCACATAGTAATACTTCAGGAATCTACGATATCTGACATAACTAATACTTTAGGAATTTATGACTTTTATATCCAGGTTTATTACCTCACTTTTACTGACTTATATATCAGTGTCTGTGAGTCACAACAAGAGGCGTTTTTGACAACGCGGACTTCACCCGAAAATTGGTCTAACTAATGGACCATTTGCGTTATAGACTAAATTTTGATCTAGACAAAAATTTCATCACAGCTTGAAAGAGCATCACAAAATTAGTAATATTACAAAGTTTCGTTGCGAATTGTTGTAAAATGCGGATAATATAGCCTTGTGAAATTTGCAATTTTCAGTCATTTTGTATTACAAACGGGAAATTGATGCCCCAACACCCGATTGGGCTGTCAATTTCCCGTGCGTAATACAAAATAGTCATTTTGTATTACGCACGGGAAATTGACAGCCCAATCGGGTGTTGGGGCATCAATTTCCCGTTTGTAATACAAAATGACTGAAAATTGCAAATTTCACAAGGCTATATTATCCGCATTTTACAACATTTCGCAACGAAACTTTGGAATAGATGCTCTTTCAAGCTGTGATGAAATTTTTGTCTAGATCAAAATTTAGTCTATAATGCAAATGGTCCATTTTGGCGGCATTTTGCATCATAGCGCTCGTGTAAGGAAGTAAGAAACTTTAAAAATCTTATGTTTTGTCATATGTGTTGAAGATTAACACAAACTGATACAAACACAGTTTTCAAACCAGTCCCACCTCGGCAATCTGACGTTCCGTGTTGACAAAAACGTTTCTTGCTTAAGCTCACTATTCTATAATGCACTCTTCTGTAGTCAGTCAGGATTAAATATATTACTAAGGTTTTCCCAATTTATTTTCTAACTTTTGCCATGTTCTGAACAAAAATAGTAGAGACTAGAAAAATAGCTGTTTTTATATGTGTCAGAATAATGAGCCGATTGATTGTCACAATATCTCGATTGATTTTTTTTTTAAAGCTGGTTTACACTATCAAAGTTTCTGTCATCACAGTAGGAATTTTGCAAAGGTAAGTTCGAAGTTTGAAGGATTTGTAAGAAATGTTTGAGGGAAATGACTCAGTGTTAAACAGTGGCTCAGTTCCCTCAAAACTTTCTTACAAATCCTTCAAAATTTTGAATTTACCAATGCAAAATTCCTACTGTGATCACAGAAACTTTGATAATGTAAACCAACAACATCCCATTTGTTGAATGTTCGTAATTCATCCCCGATCGTATGCTGTGCAGACTTTAGTGTGTTTAGTGCGTGAAAAGCCAGACAATTTTATTGTCAACGGGAAGATCCTCGAGAAAACGATAACTGATAACTCTTTCCTATAACATGTTTGACTTATCTTGGTGTCAGCTGCTGTACATCATAATAAAGGTTCAGTCTCGTTCCAGTCAATAATTGCATCTTTCCATCTGAAGAAAAATACGATATTATAAAATACTATATTAAAAATACGATATTTGCATTAACTCCACGTGTGAAGTAATATGTACACTGGTGTAGAAACAGTTAACGAATGTTTCCACAAGACAAACATATTTGGATGCCATGGATTTAATTTGTGACTTACTTTGTTCTAATGCAATGATCCAGAGGTGGTGTGAGATCATCTGGGACACCTTCCATAACACCTTCACCACTGATATCTACATGATCAATATTGAATAAGTTAGGGGTTCAGCATAGATGATGCACCATTGATGTGGAGAATTCCTCAGTCTGCATTTTATTGCAGTCTGTATTAACAACTGCAGTTAACTTAAATTCAACTAGTGAATCTCAAAACTTAAAAAAGGACGAAAAACACTAAAACACTTTATATAGTTAAGAATGGCGATTGATCTAAAAGACCACTTCAAGATTCACCATATTCATTTGCCCTTATGGACGAAATTTGCTAATTCTTACCGACAGTTAAACGTATTTCTTCAGTTTGTCCAGCCAAACCATCATAATAGTAAAGATCAAATTTCTTCTGAGATCTCCTAAAATTTTACAACAAATTGAGTAAACGACGAAAACACATGCAGCACCTTGGAAGAAAAATGTTTGCCACCAACTTTTTTTTACCGGGCAAGCTGAAAAAGGTGTCCGCCCAAAAAGCTTGCCCGGTGTGGATATACACTCAGAGTAACATCACAAGCATCATATTCACCTGAGTACATTGCACGAACACAGAAAAAATAACAATTACTTTCCTAACTGTGTTTATCCTAACCCAACCTATCAACTTTCCCTATGGGAGAAAACCGGAGCACTCGGAGAAAACCCACAACTTTCGGCAGAGCGTTGACTGACTCTTTTCACATGTCGAACCCACGATCTCAAAGGTGAAAGTCACTTGCTCTGGTGACTGCGCCACCGAAGGCGAAGCTCTACAGGGTGTATAAAAAAAAACTGAACCGATTTGAAATTGCTCTCAATTTCGCAAAACAGCTATTTGTATCCGGTTTTTTATATATATAGCCTCTTTGGGTACTTATAATGTAGAATTATGAGAAAAATTTCTCGAACTCAAATTTTGTGAACCAGGGGGGTGTGTCTTTTTCAACAAATTAAAAATGGCTCGCGCACAAAATTTAAAAGCTGCAATCATATTTTGAGTTAACAGATGGAAAATTTGTCGGGTTTTTAATTACTGTACAAAATTTCAGACAATTTGGTTTAGTTTAAGCCCCTTAACTATTCACGCAAAGTTACATTTGCCTAATTTGCATATGTCAGCAATATGCAAATTAGGTAAAGGCATAATTAAGCATGCGAAAGGCTGACTTTTTAGAACAAAATGAATAGTTAAAGGCTTAAACTAAACCAAATTGTCTGAAATTTTGTACAGTAATTAAAAACCCGACAAATTTTCAATCTGTTAACTCAAAATATGATTACAGCTTTTAAATTTTATGCGCGAGTCATTTTTAGTTTGTTGGGAAAGACACCCCCCCCTGGTTCACAAAATTTGAGTTCGACAATTTTTTTTCATTATTTTACATTATAAGTACACAAAGAAGCTATACATGTAAAAAACCAGATACAAATAGGTGTTTTGCGAAATTGAGAGCAATTTCAAATCTGTTCAGTTTTTTTTTATACACCCTGTACAACATGAATAAGGTCTTGTTTGCATAATATATCCCAAATACCTTCTTTTATCAACGCAATTATTTTGCCACTGTCGGCGTTTTCATGTATACCAGAACTCGAAGTATTGCCAGTGGTCTTGCTATTGCTTATGTTAGTGGTTGTCGTGCTAGTGTTACTGTTAGTGCTGGTTAAAGGTGATCTACAGTCCGTATGTAAACAAAGCCTTTGTTTACATTTTTGTGTCCAAAATATTGAGCTTTATTCGACAACTATTTATATTTTCAAGCTTCTAGAGTATAATAAATGATCAAGAAACAACAATCAGGCTTTTCAAGAATTCAAACATAGTTAAACTGTTTGTATCATAAAAAGTGGGCTCATTTGTGCACATGCGCAGATCGGACTGTAGATCACCTTTAAGCTAGTGCTACTGTTAGGGTCAGTTGGCTACTGTTAGTTGTTGTGTGGGTGTTAGTAGTGGTGTTAGTGTTGCAGTTAGAGTTACTATCAGTGTTTGTATTTGACTGTGCCATTTGGTTTAAGATCCCAAGTCGGAAAATATTTTTCAAGCTGGAACCCGTTTTTGACTCTTCACCAAGCAAGCTCTTCAACCAATCCTGGAGTACCATATGAACCCCAGGTATGGCCTCTACCATGCTTCTTATGATATAAGATCACAATATCACATCAATGACTTTCATGCAGCCTAGACACTAGGCTTTTTCCGGCGCGGTTGCTTTGGTTTCATGACGTCACAGAGATGAATGCGCGGTAAAAGCCTAGCAGATTTCACAATCCAATATGGCAGACTATGATGAGTACAACGAAAGTAAACAATATACCTTGTTTCCTTGTACTCATCCTACTTGTGACAATTCCAAGAAATGGTATAAAAAACTTGAGCAGCACTATAACTGCGCGCATGAAGGGGAGCAGTGCTGTTTAGAAGATGCCATAAAAGAGCGATGGAGACGGCGAGGACAAAGAATGCTAAATAAAATTATGCAATCATGTTCTGATATGGTTGGTATAAAATTAATATGTATTTTCGACCATATATCTTTAATTCAAGATTAACTTCAAAATAATCTTTTCATAGCTATATTAGTTGGTATTTTAACACTGTGTATAAGTTTTTAAATTTTTTTGTTCTTAGGCCACATAAAATAAATTCCTTGATTCTCATCACTACACTTTGAAAATGTCGAAGAGGCGGGAGGTTTATATTTTATATTTATATAATTTAATATATATCAATAAATAAAAGTGTCACAAACTGAAATAAACATATTTCTCCACGAACAATGACTGGCCCTTGAACTGAATGCAAAGTTTTCTTTCGAGGTTCTATTTGTTTGAAATTGGCAGTTTAAAATGGCAATAAAAACCCAATATAAAATATAAAAAACTTAACTGTCTTGAAATATTTAGTCGGGTGGTACATTTATGTTGTATAACAAAATATAAAAAAATTTCACGCGGCTCTTAAAAAGTTAAAATACAGTTGGGCGGTGATGAGAATCAAGGAATTTATTTTATGTGGCTTTAGGGACAAGTCATTAATATTAATGCCGGGTAGGGAGCCGGAGCCCTTTAAAAGATTGCAATTGTCAGTGTGATGTTTGCACAACACAGTGTAATACAAAGGAGTTGGATATTACTAATTATACTTTATCAATTGCTAACTGCATTCAGAAACTAAAAAATGACTACAATGGGAAGAGGTTAACCGTCAAGCAGCTGGCAAACATTATCACTGGTAAGAAAACCTCTGAAATTATAAAGAAAAAGTACAATGAGTTACCTGGTTATGGTTATTTTATGGAAACATCAGAGCAAGGTGAACTTCTATTATGCAGACTTGTAGTGGTAGACATTCTCAGAGAGGTTCCCAATGATGAGAATCCAAGAAATGCCTTGTATGTTGATATCGGCTCCAAATTTATGACTATTCTAAACAATGAAAACAGAATAACATTTTTTAAGGTAAATAAATTGCGTTAACTTGTCCAAATTACAAACTATTAAATTAAGGTGGCTAGATATTGTTTCTTAAAAAATGGATATTTACAATTTTGACCTGAATTTTTGGGAAAATTATTCTGTTTGAAAACAAAGAATACCTTTTTTTATGTAAAACAACATACAGAGTTATAGACTTGAAATTCTTTCATAAAAAGTTACACAACTGCCATTTCTATGGATCTAAAATGTTACTTTCCATTTTTTTAAAAACTGTATAAAGCCACCTTTAATTATGGGTTAAGTTATGACCTATGTATGTAAATAATGTATGTGTGTTTCGGATCACAATTGTTCAATATTATACTTACAGAAAATAGTATCATGCATTTGTTTACCATGAGGCTTGATCGATCATCATTTAACAGAAATCTTCAGGCAAATCTTTAAATATCCTCTATCCTGAAGACCCATCCGTACTCTTGGTAAAATTTACGAACGTTTGCGTAGGAAATTGTCTATATATCATTTCACTAAAATTCTCTTTAATCTTGTTACATCCTCTCTCTTCTACATTCAAGCATTCTTTTGGAATGTCAGCAAGATCGCTTAGTTCTTTCTTTCCATGTGGGTATAAATTAACTGTCTTTCTTTGTGCATTTATCAGCCATTTATGATGTATTGCAAACCATGCAACTTTAATCCAGTCTGGTGTTGGATCAGGTACAGAAGATTTCCCTCCTATACTGGTGTCAAAACTCTGTTGGTATATCGATTTGATATGTTCAAGGAGTTCAATGTTCATACAAATCTTCCCTAACATTTCGATTGTTGTTTGTTTCCGACCATACAGCTTTACAGGCTTAACAACAAATGTCTCCATGTATTCATCAATTGCAAAGTTATGTCCGTGTTTTCCTTTAACATTAACACTGCAGTTACGGCGGAACATTTCTCTGTAGGCTAAGGGCCAAAGTGCTGTAAAATTTAGCATGTGTACTAAACTCTCAGTTTTGTAGTTTTTTTTGTTGAATGCTGCAAAAATAGGTGTTAACTCTATCCAACAAGCCTCCCTTGCTTTTCCATTACCCATTCTTACTGCTTGGCGAAGTTTGTACAGAAGAGGTCCAAACTTAGTCAAAAACAAATAAAAATATTCAAATGTGCTGTCCGTTTTGTTATAGTCCAGCCAATCTTTGAAGCACTTTAACACAAATTTGCTATATTCTTGATCTTTCTTTTTATAATCTTCAATTATATAGCTTGGTGGAAAAAAAGTCGACGACTGAAATTCCTTTACACAAGCTACCATAACTCCCCAGAAAAAATCTTCAATGGCATTAAAGTTTCTTTGAAAGTTACCATGATTAAAATGTCTTCGAACGATTTCGGTGTTACTTTCAATCTGTTTAGCACTTGCCTTGCAACATAGTAGAATCCACCAGGTCCCATTATTCTTGCTATGCACTGCGTAATATATCCTTGTGTGTGGAAATCACCCGGCGCTTCTGTGAAAGAACCAAATTCATCAGGAGATCTATTTCTTACCCCTCTAATAGTCATAGTGGTTTTAACATCTCCCACAGTTATAACATGATCTCTCAACGGACGCTTTGCTGCTGTTGTATCTTCTGCATTTGATGAGGTGTTAGCATGCTCGGACAGTTGTTCAGCAGTGTCAACATGTTCGTCAAGTAGTTCAAAAACAGAAGCAGTAATGGTATTTTTTTCTTGAATGTGTTCAATTATGCAATTATAAATTGATTCATCCTTTATTGATTCAGCAATCTGAAGACGTGATGGTATGTTCCCAGGAAATGTTCCGTCACACCTTGCACCATATCTATATAAATGGTAGTTGCAGAATAAGGTTTAATAGTTTCACATCTATACATAGTTTCTTTAGCACTCTGACGTTTTGCAGTTACAGTACATATACATCCTGTATATATAATAACTTTTTCCTCTTGAACGAGTTACCATGGATTCAAACTATTAATTTCACACAGAGTTACACTCTCAAGACATTTCCTTATTTTAGAACTGTATAGACACTGTATAGACAGTCTAAAAAAACCTTATTATACATTTACATGGTAAAGTGACTTACTGAATTAATATCTTCACCAAATCGAGATTATTGGTATTTATTGCTATCATCAAGGGTGTTAATCCGCATCCTTCTAAAGAGTTTACTGGAGCTCCGGAAAGTAAGAGAGCCTCTACCAGCTTTTTGTTTTCAGTCTCAACAGCCATGTGAAGGAGGTTGCACTCGTATCCATCTACCTACCTGCCCTATCCACTCTGAAATATGAAGTTTTACTGCCGAATACGCATCAGAAATATTCTTATCTTGCACTAGCAACTTCATCTTCTTCAAAAGTTTTGACATGTGTGATGAAATCTGTTTCATTTTAGTTTTGAAACTCGATGCCAACTTTTCAGATTGTACACCGATGAGATTATCCTCCAGATCGTCACTACCGCTATGATTGTCATCATGTTTAGGAAAAGATCGATGCGACACAAATTGATGTTTCAACGAAATCATGTCGTTTTGATGTTGTTCCATTTCTTTGTAGAAAATATATCTTTCTCTTGCTGCTTTAATGTCAAATTTATTATTTTTCTCATTGAATACAATATATTCTGTATTCTTCGAGCATTTAATGTTCAAATTTTTGGCAAATTCTTTCAGAACATTTGCTGTCCCACACGTTTGAACCTCGTCTTCCAAAGATAATGGCAATATCATAACTTGTGTTTTTACGCTTGAAATTTCGGGATATTCTGGTTGCACAAGAGGCCCAGATATTTCAATGTCATTTTTTTCTTTATAATATTCTTCTTTCTTCAGGTAGTCCATCAGATCTTTCTCAGACATGCTTAAAAGTTGTTCCTTGCTTTTATTTAGAGATATACCCAGTTTTAGACCTTCAAGCAAAATCCTGTCCGTCCCTTCATTATGTATAGCCAATAAATCTTTGTGGTTTTCTGTAATGAAAATGCCTTGTTTAATATGGTAGTATATACCATTTATTTTGTTTAAATCCAGCAAAAATGTTAAAAAATTACATATAGTCAATAAATTATACCGAAATGTATTATGTTGGTTAGGTTGACATGCCATTAAGTTGCAAGTTGATAGGCCCTTAAAGGAAATTGCGTTGCAGCAAGTTTTCTGTCGTAAGTCGTCTATACTGTATGCCTTAGGGGCGGACCATTAGAAATCCCGGGAGGGGGGGGGTGAAAAGTAAAAAAAAAAAATTCGTGCAAAGGAAAATGCCTGGAAAAAAAATTCGTGCAGCCATTACATCAGAGAAAAAAAATTCGTGCAAGCAAACAGCGAAGTAGAAATAGTCTTGAAAAAAAATTCGTGCAGAGGTTAAATGCATTAAAAAAAATTCCTGCAGAGACACGAGACTGAAAAAAAAATTTGTGCCGCAAAAATTTTATACCCCCTCCCGGGATTTCTAATGGTCCGCCCCTTACGTATTCTTACTGTACAAAGCAAAATTTGCAAGTTTAAGGGTCTATAAAATAGGCAATAATCCAACATCCCTTGCATGCAGTTTTCTGTTAACCTCAAACTTACCATCACTCCTCATTAGCATTTCATCTGGTAAGGGGCCATTCACAAAGGATGTCCGAGCCAGGGGGGGTTGGAAAATCAGGACAATCTCGGACATAGAGAGGGGGGTGGGGGAGGGGGGTGTTGGTAGCAATCCGGATGTCCGAAATTTTAAAAAATTCAAAAACAAATTTCTTTTTCCTCTATTTTGAACTCTCTCTCCCACTGTGAAATTGGCGTTTTGACTTGCGGTTAATACTATATTTTGTTTTAATTAGTAATTTATATGTTTTTGTATTCACATATATAAAAAAGTTCTAAAAGTAAAAAAAGTTTTTACTCTTGACACATACAAGGTTGCGTGAGTTTTTGCCAGGCATGGCGGATCAGGGG